CGTGTTGACCTGGAGGATACCAAAGGAAAGACCGCGTATGCCGAGTACGATTACTTTGCTGTGGCCAGTGAACGAGCCAAGTACAAGCTGAGTTTGGGCTCCTACAAAGGTATCGACGAACTATTTTTTGGTGTAGTTTTATTGATTTTTCATTTTCTTCTTTGAATTTTTTCCCCATCCCATTTAAGGTTTTCCCTCTGCCTTTCAATGGTTTCTATATTTTTCATGTTTTTTTATATTGTTTTCTTGACGATTTTTCCTGGAATGTTACCTATTGTGAAACCGAATACAGTGGCAGATCTAGAACATTACACTAGAGGAGTGTGTCTAACCAGGATATATTTAGGGCTTCGGAAAATGAAATTTCTTTAAAATGAACATTGCTTTAGTTATATGTTCAGAATAAGTCCCATTCAGATTTCTTACTTTTATTATTTTGAACCCTAAAAAGTGTGGGATGACTAGCTATCTTAACTCCCACGCCATTGGAATAAAACGACGGTAACTGCTTGTCTCTTTTTCTTTTTGCGCTTCATATTCTCTATGAATTTTTAATGCAAAAAAGGAAAATAAAGTCGGAGCTACAATGTACAGTCAGTCGTTTGGCTTGATAGAAATGTGCTGTAGACATGTCGTAAATAATATTGACGGATTACAGTGGATTATAGAAAACTAATGAAATAGACTTCCTTTTTCCCCATTTCCTTCATTCATTTTATTTCATGTTTGAATAGTTATGAATCTTCGTAGATTCTAGAAATTAAAGTATCTCAGTGAGATTTGTTCACCCAGGTACTGCAGGCGATTCATTGTCCTACCATCGTGGTATGCCCTTCACCACCAAAGATCGTGATAATGATAAGTTGAGTGGTATTAACTGTGCTGTTTGGTTCAAGGGTGCCTGGTGGCATAACAGGTGCCACCAGTCCAACCTTAATGGTCTGTACCACCACGGTAAGCACAAGTCCGGTAGTGACGGTGTGAACTGGCAGCATTGGAAGGGTCATCACTATTCTGCTAAGAGAGCTGAGATGAAGATAAGACCAGTGTAATCATTGTAAGTCTGTTGTACCGACCAAGTACAAAATAAAGATGATTTGAAAACTCTTCTTGTTTTAATAATTGTGCATAATATCAAACAAGCATGATATTCGCGGTCTGAAGGTGAATATTTACATGTCAATTATTCTGTATTCGTGTCTTATTTTTCTTCATTATTCATTGTATATGTTTTTGCTATTATTCATTATTCTTAAGATAGTTTTGATTTCAGTATTCATTATATTAACTATGATTATTCCTTATAGGAGTTTTATTGAATTATTCATTATTCCCAGTCTATTTTGAACCGTTGTTCATTATTCAATATTCACCTTTCCGACTCAGACCATATGATTCTTTTTTTCAAAAAAGTCTAAGTTAAGAATGCTTTAAGTATTGGACATAGAAGAATATTGAGAAAAAAATAATTAAGTAGCAAGTCAGAATCAGTGACACACAGACACCTTTTCAGTAGAGTTCACATACAGTACAGAACATCTACATTCATGTTGCGTCCATGCTGGATGAAAGATGGATGAATTTCTTTCTTTTCAAACACCCTGGAAATTTTTGATTCTT